ATGGGTACATGAATTACAAAGCAAATTCAAGCTTTTGTTAAGCTAAAAACACAAGCCCCTGGTTTTTACAAATATCACGTGAAACGTGTGTGAACAGCCCCTTCACGGCTTCACAGAAGTCCCAAAGGGGCTCGGGGGCTCTTGTCGGTTCATAAACCCGGGGTCCCCAATGGACCCGCTTCCCTGCAAAACCCAGCCCAGCAGGCGGCGCAGCGACAGCACACGCCTGGGTCGGCCCAGATACATAATGATAGGCCGAGACAACGATCTGGTCCCTGATCGGAAGGCCTATCCAAGGTGGGACAACAGTCCGACTCTAACCCCCTTCTCCGACCGAGGATACATCGGACGTCTGCTCGTTGCTCTTTCCCGACCGACACGGTCGGGACCGACTGGGAACGACTGACCGGGGACGCCCGCTTGGTGTGGGCTCAGGGAGCAGGCAGAGCAGATAAGGTGAGGTGCTCAAGTCAACCGCAATACTAAGGACTGTACCCTGCCATGCCCTGCGTACCTACAAGACGGTGCCATCGGGGCATGTTAGGCGAACATGGTAGAGCCTGCCAGACGCGTTAGAGTATAAATAGTATTGTGGGCGCCGTCGTTTTCCGTACCAGGTGAACATGGTAGAGCCTGCCAGATGTGACTGAACATAAATAGTATGTGGGCGCCGATGGCCATCCCGTACCCGATGGTGTGGGCAACAAGACGAGGCAGCACATGTATACACTCTCTCTCTTTTCCTGACTTGTAAGGCCATCCCATTCAACTATAAAAGAAGATGAGCTCTCTCCTAAAAGCCTCCCCCCGAAGACTGGTCGACTCGACAGCTCAATAGCTCTAGGACTTGATAGCTACACAGTCTACATGCTCTCAATAGCTGATAAGCTTGGACACACAGAGCATACGTTCCAATACTTAGCGCATGTTTGAGCATCCATCACTCTCTTCCACTCGGTTAAGAGTCCGACCGGGCCTCTAACACCCTCTTTCTCATTCCTTACTCGTTTGTAACCCCACAGCAAACTTCGAGCACTTGGGCTCAGGAATAAAGTCACCGACCGACCTCAACTGGACGTAGGGCCTGTTGCATCAACCAGTATAAATCTTGTGTTATTGAGTGGTAGGCCACATCCGATCATAACGCACGGTAAAACTACAAATATTTACTTGTTGATCACTTTTCGCACCGACACTCTTAATGAAGAGTAGTTTCTTAATTTATCTTAATTCTTACTCTTAATTCATGTCACAATTCTCCTCCTCGAAATATGGCATGAACTATACTGCCATAATTTCAAGAACTATTCATAAAACTATGAACGAGGAGACACTTATAACTGACTTCATTCATATGATTATGCCATGCAAATAAAGTTATTTCTTGATCCGTATAGGAGTATACTTTTCTCATTCCACTTCAAGAACTCGATGAGGCCTTTTATTAACTGTACTTTTGCAAGTTACGCTTGCATTTTTTTTTCTTGTCCTTTGATTAGTATTGACCATGACGGTGCATTTCTATTGTGCCATGGTCAATACTAGAATAGCATAAGAGCTACCCAAACTTCTCTCACTATGCGGGATACAAAAACATATGAGTCATCACAAAACTTCTCCCACCATGCAGGATTGACTAGCATAAGTACTATGCCAAACTTCTCTCCATACGAGATAAATCTATATACAAATTACCGTAACGAAAAATTTAGTCATGATGACTAAAACATTCACTTATACTTTATTTTCCAATTAAATCTTCTCGTTGGTTCCAATTTAATAAGAAAATTAGTAAACTAACAACCAAAAAATAGTCCTAAACTGGCTTGATTCAAGCCTTTTCATTCACATAGCCTAGCATCGCAGCCCATTGGCATGCAGCCGAGTGATCTCGTCGGTTAAAAATAAAACATATAAGATGCTTTTGCATTAATTCTACATCACCGTTGGGCAGAAAATAGAATTAATGCATAAAACTCATAAATTAACTTAGAAGACATATAACTACTCTTCAAAATTAAATTCTTCTGTTGGTTCAAATTTAATTAAAAGATAATCAACATCATTGTAGCGGAAACTTGATAATAAAATATATTCTATTAGTTCAGGAGCATTTCTTGGTCCTTATCTACTCTCTGAAAAATTGACCACCTTGGTGTAAAATTTATCAGAGATTTAAACCTCAAACTTAAACTTATTATAATATTGTCATCATCAATGTTGGTCAGAAAATGACAATACCATAATTTGACTTAAACAAAATTGAACTACTCCTCCAATTTAAATTAGAGGATAAACATAATCATAATTCACTGAACCAAAGTCAACTGCTCTTCAAATTAAATTCTTCCATTGGTTCGAATTTAATTAGACGATAATAAACATTACACTTTTCAGCGAAAACATGAAAAATTATTTATCTACCTTTCAGAAGCATTTTACTATACTCATCTACTCTCTGAAAAAAATATCCCATTGATTTAAATTTTGACAAGAGATTTAAACTAAAAAAAATTGCTTCTAAAAATAATAAAACAAAACTCTCAGGTGTGTCTTCATTCATTTAGTGAATTTTGAAACAGATTCATGCCCATCATTACACGCTCGCTGCGCGCTCAGGCTCGCGCAATGGCGGCAAAACCGAGCACGGCGGTCGCCGCTTCGCGCCACGCTCCCCCGCGCCCAGGCCGCAACCTGGGCCTGGGCCGAGAATTCCCATTCCCGCCTAGGCCGCTTTCGGTCCGAGCTCTGTCGACCGTCGGATGTCATCGGACGGTTCGCCGCACGTTTCATCCGATCAAAATCGCGCTGCGGCCGCTTGCGCCTTAACCCTAACTTCATTTGCATTCTCTCCCGTCTCCTATCCTCTCCTCGCCACGGCGGAAAAAGAGGGACAACAGAGTGGCGCTGCCACCGGTCCCCTCGCCGGTGAGCGCGCTCACCCGAGGCTAAGCGCGCCGCTGTCGAGCGGTCTGGGCGATGGTGCCCTTGACCCCACGCGGCTCCGCTCCCCGAACCCTAACTACATTTCTTTTCTTCCCCTTCTCCCTTTACGTCGCCCACTGTAGTTGCTGCAGTTGCTCGCACCTGTGAAAACTCTGACTGTGCAGAAGGTGACAGTGCCGCTGTGGTACCCCTCGTCGGCGCACGCGTGTGGCCAGAGCTACGCGCGGAGCCGTCGAGCGGCTCCGCGGTGGTGCCCTATGGCCCGAGGCGGAAAACGAACGACGGCGAGACTTTGCTCTTCCCGCGTGGTGTGCAAACAACGATCGACGGTGGCGACGGGACGGCCGGGCCCCAGGTAGGAACCCCTTCTATCCGTTCCCTTCTTCTTTCTCAGCTTTTCTTCCCGTGCGGCGTCCAGTCGACGGTCGACGGTGGCGACGGGATGGTCGGGCCCCAGGTGGGAACCCCCCTCTCCGTCCTAGCTTCTCTCTCTAGGGTTAGGGTTAGGGTTAGGGTTAGTGTTAGGGTTAGGGTTGGGGTTTCTGATCCAATTTGAATCCCTTCTTTCTTGATTTCTTTTATGTTTTCTACCCCAAACTGGATCTACTCACTAGAACCTGGCTCTGATACCAATGATAGATTTTTAGTACCATCTAGGCGTAGATCTAGTGGATAAAACATAACTTAGATAAGGACTTGGTGATGTACCTCGCTGCATGCAGTGGCGGCCATGGCGCCGCCGTGACGTGGACACTGATGTCGGAGTAGAAGTAGCATCGTAGTGGGGTGCGATCCAGTAGCGACACCGACAGAGCTTCTCGTCGCTCACAGCACTCCCCTCTTGATCGGATTAGGGTTAGACTCGGTGGGAAACTGGCGGCAGCAGTGAACCTCGCGCCTTGTGCCCCGCCCCCACCTTCCTTTTTATAGCGTTGCGCGATGGGGGGCCATCAGCCAAGAGAACGGCTGGGCGTCTCCGATTAGGGCGCGGATCAAGAGTCCAATTGGTCGTTGGGCCAACTGGTAGAGATCAATCTAACAAGGAGGAGGCTCCAACGCGGCCGTCGACGAGCCCGCCGGTGTCATCGCCTTCCGCTTCCTCTAGCTAGCTGGACATATATGGATGATCCATTTGATTTAGATTTAGGCCCAAAAATTGCAAGGGAAGAGACAAATCAATCCTTACTTCTTGTTTAAATTAGGCTTCTTTTTCTCTGTTATAGTTTGTTTTGTTTTCTTTCTTTCTTTTTTTTTGAAAAGAAGAAAGGACAACCTCATTAACTGATTGACGGTCAATCAAAGTGGATAATGTTTTTGACTTGTTCCGAAATGATGCCCCTCTCTGCATTTTCAATTTAACGTAACGTGCTCTCCATCTTCGTTTAAAAACGCAGGGAAATATATAGCCTACTAGTACTCCCTGCAAAATGAATGGATCGATGTCGACCACGTCGACTGCTTCTCATCATCATCGCAGTCTAATCTCAATAAGCTTCTCATGATCATCATAGTCTAATTAAGCTTCTCATTTCTAGGAGTATTCATATTGATCAATATACGACTATACTGCTTACTCGATACGACTATAGTACTTATTCGGAAATGGGTGCTATTGTCAACTTGCTAGTAACAGTAGGACATGGAACTACTACCGACCGACTATATATGTAGTACTATTTTCCTTTCTACTGCTGAACTAGAGGTCTAGAGCATACTCCATCTAAAAAATGCAATTTGTTGTTTACCAAGCCTCGTTCAAAAGGTCAGTAAAGAGGACAGACATGCAAGATTTACCCCAAAACAAACACCCAGCCTTCCAAGTTGGAATGCCATCGAATCCATGATCCATCCAACCCGTCTGATGAACTGTTGCCTAGCACTACTTATCACAGTAACAATGTCCAAAACTTGTCTAGAAACTTACTTTCAGTGTGCCAAAATACCATGAGCTAAGCTAGCGTTCTATGCGAACAACACAAGATTTGTCACGATATGAGCAGTTGACTTGATTCGCATTCAAACACCTAGTACAAGGATGCTGCCCCTACCAAGTATCAACTCTCGTCCATGGCATCATTCCCACTGCCTCGCTGGGCCTCTGCATCCTTGTCTCCAGCTTCAGAGGCACCTCTTCCAACCGAGTCTTCCAATGCCTCCAGGAATGAGGCCACCGTGAACTTATCTGCCATAATCACAACGCGCAGAAAAGTTCAGATACCAAAAACTGATGCATACTATACTTACCCCGACTGCAAAATTTGCAAAGGGAAAAAATCTTTCCAAAGTTCAGCAACAAGCATCATGGATGGTTGGCATTTACAGTAGTTTTTTATCATTATTATACTGCCTAAACCTTATGTATAATAACAAGGCTTGCTCGCTGAACAGATTACTTTTTTTTTTACTTTATACAGACATTAATTATCCCAAGCACACTACATATAACGAATCTACTATCAAATGTAGAGTTGTAGTCTGTGAAAAGGATTTACATTTGCTGGGGTCAACTCCAAATTGAGCAAGATCTATCTGCCCAGTCCGTAGAACCTGTCACACAACCAAACATCAAAATCAGCATACCACTAGCACCAGGAACTAGTGACATCACCATGTAGCACATGAGAATGGTAAGGATGAGTAACTAACGTGGGTGAATGCATCTAATTGTTGGCGCAAAGGAGGACTTTGGAGAAGCTCAACGATATCACCAGGAGTCCATGAGCCCTGGAATTGGGCAATGACCATGAATATTAAGCTGCAAGGTTCGGTTAATCTGAAAGCCAGGGTAACATATCATCTCAGTAGTACAAACCTCTGGAAGATGTGATGCTAATTGTTCAATGGGCAAGTTCTCAATTAATGGCAAGACCAAATCAGGCTTCAAGATGTCTCCTAGTCCTAGTCCTGCAACACCAGCACGGAACAAGAGATTAAAAAGAAACCTAGTTGATGAATAACAAGAGTGCACCAGTTTACCATAGTACTTACCAGCATCAGGGTCAGAAGATGCAGCACCTGATATACCAGGAGAATGTAAGTACAAGTTCAGAGAAGCATATAGGACAGAAGAACTCACACAATGCAAAGTATTTTTAAGCTGGTACCTGATGGCTGTATTGCACTCAGAATTCTCTGCAGATCCTCCAAGCGTACAGGTCCAGCAGCAGACGTCACTTCACCAGCCAAATCAGCGGTCATGCTCTCAACTAAATTCCCAGCTCTGACATGAAAGAAAGGTATAGAAGTTATCAAACAAGATCGTATGCAAAAAAATGTAAAGCTTTCATCCATTAATATGTAAAAATATCACAGGTGTAAACAAGAGCAAATTTTTTCCACATTTTAAGAAAAACTGTATTTGCTTATAACTGCATAATAAAATATCATGGCGCAAACAAGGGCAGTGAAGGCAATGGGCTACAACATCAGCCAGATAAAGACGATGCTGACATTATTTCTGACACTGCATCGAGCATATATATTAATACATGCAGTTTCTATTTCCATGGACACACAGGTTGATAGGGGTTTAAAAACACATTGGATTTATGTACCTGGAAGAGATATCATCATCAGCCGTATCTTCAGACATTTCTGCTTCAATAGGTACTCGAAGATCAGCCTCAGCATCTGCACAGCAATATGACTTAAGACAAATGACCAAGAACCAAGATATGTGCTGAGACTCCCAACATTAAGAGCTTACCTAATGGTCGATTTATGTAGGCATTAACTTGCATGCAAGTCTGGGCATCCCCATCAGCATTTGGTTCCTGAAAAAAAAAAAGAGAACACCATGATAGTCAAACCTTGAGAATGACGAAAGTGCTACATCTTTCACAACAGAAACTTTCAGTTTCACACATAACTGACCTGCATCCAGAAGAAGAATTTTCTGCTGTCATGCTTGAACTTCAAGATGTAAACCCTTCCAGAAGATTCTGTGACCTAATGAAGTCAACTAGGGTTGATCACTGAAGTTCAATTGAATAACATGGAAAACATCTTAAACTTGGATTATATTACTCAATACCTTCTCAAACACTGCCTCATCAGGAAAGATGATTTGATCCTTTGAAAGATGGAATCAAGGGCAGACAAAACTTCTGTGATGCTGATATGAACTAAAAGCAGGGAAAAGTGGAGGCACAATATTCGAAGTCCACAGAGGAACCATATATAAGTTCAAACATTTGAAACAGGCACTTTCCAAAAACTAGGATTTCTAGCACAGCAAGAATTTCTTTGAAGTATTACTATCAACTGAGAAAGGAGACTTGGGCACCGGTGCGTAGTGGAATCCTAAGCCAGGATAGTAATGTGAAGAGAGGCAGAGGAAGACCGAAGTTGACTTGGGTAGAGACAATAAAAGGAGACTTGAAAGGATGGAAATATACCCAAAGACTTAGCCTTAGATAGGAGTGCTTGGAAGACAGCTATTCACGTGCCTGAACCTTGATTGCTTCTGATGGGTTTCAACTCTAGCCTACCCCAACTTGTTTGGGACTTAAAGGCTTTGTTGTTGTTGTTGTTGTTGTTGTTGTATTACTATCAACTGAGAAAACCAGAACAGAGCACGAAGTGCCTACAAAAAATATAGGTGCAAGAGGATACATCTTCAACAATGTTCTGTCCACGATCAAGCCACTGAAAATGGACTAAGCCTTCTTCACCCTACAAAAGAAAGGTTGTATATAGTTGCAGTGAAATTCAAATAAAGAAATAATCGACTAGCTTAGAAGTTTTATTGTTGAGCTTAGTATAAGTTTGAGTATCCATACCCTCCCAACACGGACAAGACCCTTGCGTGTGTCTGGAACCACTCGTGTTCCCTCACGAGACATCTTACCGGCACGAAACTCACACATGATATCCTGACAAATACATCAAGGAAATACATTAATACACATTTACCAATTTAACAGCTTATATGATGTAACAACAAAGCAATGAGATTGCAAATTTTAAACATAGAGATCATTCAGATTCTGGCAACTGAAGAAGATTTCAGTGCTCTGTCATTGAATGTAAAACTATTAAGCATTATCTACAAAGAGAAACTATAAGACCAAACAAATCCAGATATTGCCCAGCTCACATAACCATATTGAAATGAAAGCAGCCTTCAGACGTGGCATATAGACATGTTTAAGTACCCTGTGCAGTAGCAGCAGAGGTGGGCTGGTGGCTTCTAAATTTGCATAGAAGTAACATAAGTTCAGTGTCCGGAACAATTCTATCTGTATTGATCTCAATTCACAAGCACTTGAGCCAGTTGTTTGGGCTGTATATGTAATAGGGCCCAAGATCCCCTGTGCAAGCATGTATGTACTCCATAGCATAGCAATGACGTAGCAATCAATATATTGTATACCAAAAGGCTACACTGCTGTAGAACTTAAATGGGGGAAAAACATTGTTGCTCTTCTGATAGGAAAACCATGAAGTCACTACGAATCACTATCTAATAAGATAGAACTGATAGAAATACAAGTAAAGTGAACGTATTGCTGGTATCAGTTGTCTGGAGAGAACATGACCAAAAAAATAAAAGTTAATTGGAAACGAAAAAGAAAAAATGAAGCAATGATCACAAGTGTTCATAGATGATTTAGAACTTTTCTGCTAACAGGCTGGGATAGAGCAATTGGTTCATGACATGAACTACATGGGTCAAATACAGGCTCCGAAACCTTCCAGGTTCAATCACAAGCCCATGCTAAATAATCATCACAATACTAACAGATGCATTAAAAAGCCAGTATATGCAGAAACAGCAAGAGATAAGTGATAGCTTTACCTGTAGAGGTTCAGTGGTCTCCATTGACAAAAGAAGGTGATCGACGCAAAGTATAAGCCCTACAAGACAGAAATGATTAATGCGGATGAGTAGAATCTTTGGCAGTCAACTAAATGAGGCAAGTTTGAAGTAGCACACGACACAATACGCCACTGGCAATTTTTTTGTAAAGATAACGGCTGTCTGTTTCGTGCCTGAATAATTAAGATTAATGAAAGATACGACATGTACAAGATAGTGGAAGTAAACTCCAGTAAAATTCTATGGATATCCGGTACAATTGGTTTAGGTGCATGTGCACGTGTTCCCTTCCCGGAATGCAGAAATAGGCACTTCAATTTTATAAGTTATTATTAGGAATAAGTATGGACTCATCAACATAAGAGCATCTCGAAGAGACTCTCCATATTCTTCCTAAATGCTAGGAATAGAGATTTTAGTGAAAAACTACCCTCCAACGGCTCTTCTAAATGATCATCCAAATATAGCCATCTTTTGTTCCGGATTTTTCGCTAGCCAAAAATAGAAGACGAGAATGGCTCTATAGGGTGCGCATGAGATATAGAAAAACTATTGGAGATTGAAAAGATATAGAAAGCGATTTTTATGCAAATGGCTCTCCAAATGATGATTTAGAGAGTGAGATTTAGAAAGGCTCTTGGAGATGCTCTAAGAGATTTAAAGAGATAAGACTAATGAATCTGTAGTTTCCGCATTATCAATTCCCCTATAGTCAGTCAATTGTATCTACAGAACCACCTGCACTGCCACTGTCCTAGGTATTCAGTAGTAAAAACGGCATTGCTTAGCAAGCTTGCGAGTCAGGGCTAGCACACACAGACACAGGGGCCGGGCTGTTTATATAATATAATAAGCTTGAAAAAGACGAAACAGATGCGTTTGCCTGGATCGCGGCGAGCGGAACAAACCCCAAATCCTTTTTTGGGGCATAATATCACGGCACCAGACGCTAACTGTACAGAAACGATCAGCATAACAAACCGCAGTAAACTCGGATGGATGGAGCACGAGCATCCGACCCCAGCAACATGTGGAACTCGCACTGAAGGGGGGACAAGAGTCGCTCCCCCGAGAAAGCTAGGGATTGCTTTGCTTACCGAGAGTTGCTTGTATCCCAAACCCCGAGTGGCGACGGATCTGCAGTCCGGTCCGCAGCAGCCCGGCTCCAGCAGAGGGGAAGAGAGAGAGGCGGGGTTGTGGGGTGGAGGAGGCGGCCGCGTTCGCCGGTTTCGCCCCCTTGTCGTTGTGGGATGGCCGCCTCGCCTGGAGAGAAGAAGAAAGACGAAGAAAGCGGTCCACCAGCCTATTTGTGTTGTGTTATTAAGTAGGCCGTTTTTACGATGGGCCGGGAGCAATGAATGAGCCCACACGGCCCACTTCCATCTCTCAATTATTCTCTCGCTTCCGCCGCCACAGGGTTCATCAGCAGAAGCTGCTTGCTTGTCTGGTGGTCTCAAGCGCCGCCGCCGCCACCGCCACCGCCGCCGTCGTCCTCCTCCTCTACTGGTACTGCAGGATATCCATGCTCGCTCACTTTCGTCGATTTCTTCTCTTCCCACGGCTCTATTCAGAGCAGAGCAGTTGCTGATTCCCTTGCTGCGCTAGTTTCATCTCAGATTTTGATTCGGGGTTCGACTAAATTTCGTCGGATGGACACCCAGCCGGTTCTCGCTCCCGCTATCGATGCCAGCGCTAGCGTCATGTGCCAGCTGCTGAGCCCCGAGGGAGACCCTCTCGGCGCTGCGCTCTATCTGCCCCAGAACGTTGGGCCCCCGCAGCTCCAGGAGATTGTCAATCAGCTCCTCCACAATGTATTACTGTACTCTAATTGTTTTCTTTCCCCTCTATCAAATTCTTTCATCTTATTACTTTGCTTCCCTCAACCTTACCTTGCCATCCACCCATTCCTAATTCATTCATGTATGCTGTATTCATTCATTCAGGAGGAGAAGTTGCCCTATGCATTCTACGTTGGAGACGAGGAGCTGTCTATCCAGCTGGGCGCTTACATGCGGCAAAAGAATGGTGAGATGGGATCCCTCAGCAGTTTAGCGCATTCCCCTATTGTCTCTTGATTTTTTTTTTATGAAAGGCAAACTGTGTCGTCTGTGCTGCCATCTAATTCCTACTTCCATCCCTTGTTTTCTTAAAATCTAGCCAATGTTGAGGTTACTCTGCGCATAGTATGCCAACCACAAGCACTTTTCCGGATCAGACCGGTCAACCGATGCTCTGCCACGATTGCTGGTATGTCTCCCTGCCTGCTGTTCTGTTAATCATCCCTCCTAGCTATTATTTTGTCGAGAAAATAAAAATGCACACAATTGTTCATTTTGCTGATCATATCTAACTCAATAATATCTTGTGTACCACAACATTGTGGTCATATCCAGTTAATTCAATAACAAAAATACACACAATTGTTATGTTTCTTTGCCGACCACAACATGCCACAACTCACCATGCCCTAACCTTCAGCATGCTTAGCCACCGTTTGGCGGAAACTCCGGCGTCTCTTGTGTGTTTTCAGCAGCCATTCCTTGCCAAAAGTTTGGCGCAGGATTTCAGCGCTGCAACTTGCCGTAGGTTGGGCGAGCTGCGCTTTAGTTATGGCCGGTTGCAGCATGCAACCAAACAATACATTTCTCCTTGAATGGTCTACTCACAATCTTCTCTTTCTGCAGGCCACACGGAAGCTGTGATTGCTGTTTCTTTTAGCCCTGATGGAAAGAGTTTGGCGAGCGGTTCAGGTGACACCACTGTTCGCTTTTGGGACCTGAGTACACAGACTCCATTGTTCACATGCAAAGGTGGAATGCTCAGTACCCTATCCTTGTGTGTTAGTGATTTACTGCAATGCTGTCCATTCCTTAAATTCTGGTCCTTGGGTAGGTTGCATACATCCATGTTGGCCAATTTAATCTTAGTTGCATGGCAAACCACTAAAATGACCTTGGAACTAGCCTTTTATATTATTAGCAGAGTAATTGGACAAATAGAGGATTACTATAGTATAATACGCTGATGATCCTTCTATGCACTTTTGCTGGATAAAAATATGAATTGGAACCTTTGAATCATTGAATGATGGCATATTACAGTTTCTTTTAATGACAAAGTGTTTTTTCAACCTATATTGTGCATGTCCAAAAGTCTAAAGCGTCTTAGCAAAATTGAGTTTTCTAGAAGTCTAAATCGTCTAAGCTTCTCTCTCCTGTTTTACTTGGTTTCCAGCACTCACAACTCGTGTTCCTGGCCAAATGAATGCATTGCCGTTCATATACTCCCTCTGTCAGGTTGGCTATTCATCTAGAAGCCTCCGCATGCAACAGCGTTACCATCTTTTTACATGGGAAAACGAACAGATGCTGGTGCATTAAAGGGAGTGCCCGATTAAATGAAAATGGGCACGCCTGGATCCTCCTTGGTCACAGTGCACAAGGCTTATATGTTTTAGACCTTTGGATGGAGGGAGTATGATTTTATGGCATTTAAAACTTATCTTCTATCCGCAATCTCTGTTGTAGCACACTTTAAGCTTTGCTAGTAAAGCCTGCCAGTTTCTACCGTGCCACTATTTCCGAGTTTGTGTTGCTTGTATATTCTTTCTTTGCTTTATGAGACTTTTGATAGTTGCACATCTGTGCACTGCGCTTCTCCTATGTTGTTTATAACCCTTCATATTACAGGACACAAAAATTGGGTTCTCTGCATTGCGTGGTCACCTGATGGAAAACAACTTGTTAGTGGAAGCAAGTCGGGAGAACTTATATTATGGGACCCAAAAACTGGAAACCAACTGGGCACTCCACTTATGGTACAATCATGCATTGTTTAATTTTTTAGTTCTAGGCCTGCTGAACAATGATTTTATAATTATGGTAGCCTTCTTTTCTGTGTTGTTACACTAGACTGTCCTGTGCATCTATTCCCAAGCATGCATTTGTATGACCTACAATTCAAAATAGATGATAACTGAAGAGAACTACTACCACAAACTTTATTTTTTCTTAGTAGGTTAAATGTATCCATATCATACTTTGCATCTTTCAGATGTTTCTGTTTCCAATGTCCACCACTCATTTAGTGTGCCTTGTGTTACAAAATAGGGACACAGGAAATGGATTACTGCTGTATCATGGGAGCCAGTTCATTTACAGTCTCCATGCTTCCGCTTTGTAAGTGCAAGCAAGGATGGTGATGCTCGCATTTGGGACGTCACCACAAGGAAATGTGTTATTTCCCTTACAGGTCACACTAGTTCAGTGACTTGTGTCAAGTGGGGTGGAGATGGTTTGATTTATACTGGGTAAGACATAAATTACTGGTCCTTTCCTTTTTTGGAAAAATATTATAGCTTTGGCCTCTTGTATTCTGCACTTGTTCATTTACTAACAATTGATGTTTACTAACAAATCCAGTGATTAGCCTACCCCAACTTGTTTGGGACTTAAAGGCTTTGTTGTTGTTGTTGTTGTAACAAATCCAGTGATTCCATCATGGTTCAGTACTGTATACTATATACTAGCTTTATACAGAGTATGAAAAAAAAGGGCGTACCTAGTGCAGAGAGCTCCCACTCTGTGCGGGGTCTGGGGAAGGGTGTCAGTGGCAAGCCTTACCCTCGCCTGTGCAATGCGAGGAGACCACGACTCGAAATTATACAGAGTATGAGAAAAATAAAATAAGACCTGCTGATCTATTAAGTGTGAAAACTTTGTTTTTTATTTTTTCATCAGTAGGAATAAATTGTGTCTTGTCTTCATCATAGATTCATTGCAAATTCTTCTGATGGTCTTGTTCCCCTTTTTCTATGAAAATAAGCTGATGTCTGCCTGTGTGCCAATTCTTAAGGTTTTTCTTTCGAGAATTGTGGAAAAATAATTTGATTCTCAGTTAACAAAAGCAAAGCTCCCTCCTGGTCTCAATTAGATAATTCCTAGATTTACTATTGTAACCTAATCGGGTAACAAGTTGAAATCATCTGTCAACCACAAATAAAAGGCTCGTTCACTTACATATGTTTTCTCCTTTTTTAAATTTCTGTGCTCCTTGATACTTTATTCAACTCAGATATCTACAGACATATGAATATGATAAATCAGTTTTAATTGACCATAAGTACATAAATTGTCATTACAAATGACGCGCAATAAGAAACCTTACTGTTATGTTTTTTTAACTTGAAGTTATATTTTTCCATATATCAGTCTGAACACAATTCTTCTTTCACTGTAGTTCTCAAGATTGTTTAATCAAAGTATGGGAAACTTCTCAGGGAAAGTTGGTCAAAACATTGAAGGTGTGCATCAATCCACATAATATTTGCATACTTATGCTCTGATGCTCATGTGCCTGGATACTCGATTACTGTTTTGATTAACTTAAGAGTTTATAACTATAGTTTACTTAATCATATTGTGAAGTTTTATCTTTCTGAAGTTTTATCTCACTATAAAAACATCAGTGTTTTCATTTCATTTTCTAAAGGTAATTGTTCTTGCATATTCAGGGTCACGGGCATTGGGTGAATTCGCTTGCCTTGAGCACGGAATATGTTCTCCGTACTGGAGCATATGACCACACTGGCAAAACATTTTCGACTGCAGAGGAAATGAAAGAGGTATATTGATGGCACTTGGCCTAGTGCTTGTATTTCCTTTATTTTGTTGCCTATCCTAATAGCAAATTAGTTTTGGCTCAAGATTACATATAATATATGTCACCATTTTTTATGAATATTATCTTTTTGTATTTAGGCTGCTCTTGCGAGATACAAGAAGATGAGGGGTAATGCTCCAGAGAGACTAGTTTCTGGTTCTGATGATTTTACAATGTTTCTTTGGGAACCAACAATTAGTAAACAACCTAAAGCTCGCATGACTGGTCATCAGAAGGTATAGCGTCTCTTGTCTTATTGCCTCCAGACAACATTTTTTTTTGAAAATTCCAGATAACATTCTTGTATTAGTATACATGTTTCTGCTCGTACATGTATTTATTTATATACTTTGTTGTCTTAATGTGTATAGTTTACAGAATCATTAATGTTTATTTTCCTACTAGTTGGCAGTTAATGCTCATGATGTATCTCCACATTCAGTTCACAGTAATATTTGAATAATTATGGCTTTTGTACTCAGTTGTCCATAAAGTATCGGATTGCTTGATCAAGTTTTTTTTCTTAGGTTGTGTAAGTAACTGTAGTTAATTGTTTGGTTATATGCAATTGTAAGTGATCATTTTGTTCGTTTCTTTTTGCAGCTTGTAAACCATGTTTACTTTTCCCCTGATGGGCAATGGTTGGCAAGTGCATCCTTTGATAAATCTGTCAAGTTGTGGAACGGTATTACAGGTAAATTTGTTGCAGCTTTCAGAGGGCATGTTGCAGATGTCTACCAGATCAGGTGAGTTTTTTTTAAGGAAAAGAATAATTCCCCAGACTTCAGACATTCCAATGCTTGACAGCGTTATTTCTCTGTAGCTGGTCTGCCGACAGTAGGCTTCTACTTAGCGGAAGCAAGGATTCCACTCTAAAGGTATCTATATCTATTTATATGTGTTCACTTGACTTTAGCTGTGTTGTTCATTCGACACGAATCTTGTACTTCCTCCCCTATAAAAGAAAACTTTGTACTTCCTCCGATTCACAAATATAAGTTCATCATTAGGACACCAACATGGTATCTAATATTGCATTTTGACTCGCAATATCTATTGTGTTTTTTCTTTAGGGCATGGTGCCTATGTGTGCCCAAGTGGGGAACGAGTCCCCATTGCTGTGTATAAACTCTTTTCCCACCTTAATTGAAAGGCAGAGCTCCTGCCACTTCTTTCAAAAAAAAAATGAAATATCTATAAGAATAAGAACAGAGAGCTGCTATAGGTACAACTATTTTGTATGATTAACATCCGACCAGAAGCAGCACAGCTAGACATTTCAGTCATGTGTGAAGCTAATTTGTGGAGTCCTAGAGGTAGCACCAATTGAAGAAAAGCTTGTTCAATATCGGTTGAGGTGGTTTGGCCATGTCCAAAGGAGACCTCCAGAGGCACCAGTGTATTGTGGAGTCCTAAGCCAAGCTATTATATGAGGAGAGTAGAGGAAGACCGAAATTGACATGGGGGAGGCAATAAAAAGATATTTGAAAGCTTGGGATATACCTAGAGATCTATGTTTGAATAGGAGTACTTGGAAAGCAGCTATTGAAGTGCCTGAACCGTGACTTGGGGCTCTTGGTGGGTTTCAACTCTAGCCTACCCCAACTTGCTTGGGACTGAAAGGCTGTTAAAAAAGAAGCTAATTTGATAAGAACATATTATCTTAAATAGAGGCAGTTATATATTGTGAAGGTATTCTTCACGAGGAATGTTTCAGTACCAATTTTGCTGTCAATCTATTTAGAAATTTAGAAAGTGATTGTCAAAGTTAAACGAGTTGACTTGGGGAAAACCCAGGTTGACTTGTATTTTGAAATTTGAGGAAGTATTCGGTTGTACTTGTGGTGTAATTATTTGGCTTTGTTAGTAATTTCAAAAGCGATCAAGTCAGACGTGGATCAGTTCATTATCCAAAGAAACATGAATATAGATTGGTCTTTCTGTGCTCATATGCCTCGGTAGTGAGAATTCAATGAATGGGCGTAGCAGTGTCTCCGGATGTTGATGCTTGTTGGTTGGAATTTCGAATGGACATCCCGTGTTTATACCCCTGTGAGTATCTGTTGCTTTGCTGATGCATTATACATTTCAGATTTGGGATATTCGAACACGCAAGTTGAAAATGGACCTGCCGGGCCATGCGGATGAGGTATCTCGTTGCTTTGACAAAATCGAGTTGGTCATCAATATATATATTGTTGTACTGTATATACTGATTACTGAGTATAAAGAGAGAGAACTGAGACGATGATGCATGTGATCATTCATTATTAGGTGTACACCGTTGATTGGAGTCCTGACGGTGAAAAGGTGGCGTCTGGTGGCAAGGATCGGGTCCTCAAGCTATGGATGAACTGACGACCGGGGTATATATAGCTGCTAGGGATTGAAGTATTATGCATACATACGCCTATAAATACCTAGGCAAGAAAGCTCCTGTAGGGGTGATGGCATTGTGTACCGTGGATGATATATGCTTTAGCGAATTGTTGTAGTGATGATATTTTGAAGGTATTTATAGAAATTTTGTCTATTTACTTGTGCTGGTATCAACATCGTCTACGCATGCACAAGACAAGCCAAATTGAATTTGTGCGTGAAGCAACAGAGCGTTGCAACAATCATTTAGGTCCTTTTTCGCACAGTTTCGGAAGCTGTTTAGAGCTGGGGTTTTTTTTTTTTTTTGCCAAATAAAATGAAACAACCATCAAGTGAAACTTCTAGAAACCCTCTCTCACAGGGGTGGATATTGGATGGAGCTGAAGAAATTGGTTTCTCCTAACTCCCTCTCCTAGATCTATCTGCTATGAGAAATTGTTGTAGCAAATGTTTTCCAAAAACAGTTGAAGTCCTACTAGAGGGGCCGTTTTTAAAAAAAAAAAACGAAAAAAAACTGCTCCACTCAAAGCTGTACTGAACAGCTTGAGTTAGGTGGTGTTTAAATCCAGGAGCTAAAGTTTAGTGGTGTCATATTAGGATATCATATGAGAGTATTCGAATAGTAATAATATGTAAAACATCCGATGTGATAAGTACCGAGAGGAACTAAACAAGACCCTCCTAGAATTGATTATAGATGCAAGCCTCTTTAGTTTGGCCCAGAAGAACCACATGGCCCATTAGTAGGTTGGCCCAGCTGAGAGGGGGAACGAAGAGAGACGCCACGCTTCCGTGGAAGACTCGAAGGAGAGGAGAAAAAGAGAAGGGCTAGGGTTTTGGCGTCCGGAACCGCAGCCATCAATCCAGCTCTCTCCGGCGAGGACGAGACACGGAACTCGAGATTGTGGGGCTAGTAGGCGGCGCTTGCGGCTTCGGCGATCCCTAATCCCCTCTCTCGGCAGGGCACAGATGGCGTCCGGCGGTCCGGCGCTCGAGCCGCTCGTCGACCGTGAGTACCCCCAAATCGACCAGCCATATGATTTCTTCGCTTCCCGATCTTCTTCTGTCTGATGCTCTCCTCCTGCTTCTACAGAGGTCATCTCCGTCATCACCAACGATGGCCGCAACATTGTGGTAAGCAAAGTCCCCCCAGTCTCTTGCTGCCGTGCCATGTGGTGCTTGTTACTAGTTAATTCAATCTTGTTGCTGCAGGGTACGCTCAGGGGATTCGATCAGGCCACCAACATTATCCTCGACGAGTCCCACGAGAGGGTCTATTCTAGAAAGGTTACTTTTGATTGCTTCCCCCAATCAATTATCACCTTTTATTTGAATTCTACGTACTATGGATTTGCATTCAATGAACAACATATGGAACCAGCTGTTTCTGTGTAAGATTGAAACCCAATGCCCTACAGCACACAGCTATACCAAACCACCAGTATACTTGGTTTAATTGGATGCCATCTCATCAACACAAAAGTCACCTTTAGCGCACATGTACGATGCCACAAATCCTATTCCTATCATTGAATAGTCTGACAATGCTCCTCGTCTTCTTGATTTTATGAAATCATTGCCTACAATCAGTCCTTTGATAATTCTGATAATCAGTGAGCCATTTAGAGCAACTTTTCAAGTTCTCACTGAGTGCCTGTTTACCCCCAATCAGGCCTTCAATCTTATTTACACATAGCGTTTTACATGGCACTGATGCTCTGCTTTCAAGTGCTCTGTTCTGCTGTTTCCTGTATGAATTGAACCCTTTGTCAGCACAGATAGGCTTACAAGTATGACTCGTTCAGTACAAATTGTTCATTACAGAATTTGTCTTGGCCTTGGTCTTGAAATTCATCCATTGGGTATGGATTTACATTTGTTTCCTTTTTGTCCCCACTTTGTTAATCCTGTGGTTCGCTTTTGTAGTACTGTAAACTGGTTTATTTCATGATCCTTGGAAATTTGCTACCAAAAATGTAAAAGCTGAGAAAATTTTGGTGCCTTAAGGTTGAAACACTGATTTAGTGCAGAATGAGTCTACATTACAGTGAGCCATGTGTCGTCCGGCGTTTGGATACTTGATCTTTGATAAGTTGATGAATATCGTGTACTGACATCCTAGTTTAAAGGATTGATTGAACTGTTCTGACTGAATTTAAGTGTGTTTAAAGTGCTTAAGAATGATTCTTTATACCCACTGATGATTTAACAAATTATATGCTGCACTGGTTCATGAATCATGATTCAGGTAATTACCATTGACACCTGACATCTCTAAAGATGTGTTCTCATCGAACTGTTTGCTACTCTGTTATATGCATGCTACTGGTCCACTACTCTTACCTATTCAACTTTTTGATGCATTAGATGCCCACTCCATTTTTCTATGTTTGTTCAGTGGTCTTTTAAGGCCTTGGCCCTATTTGGAATTTTTTGTGTGTGTGTTGGGGGGGGCACTGTGAAAATGTCTCATAGAGATCTGGTTGGTTCAGAACATTTTTCCATGGCCCATCCTGCTCTTCTCCCTTCTAGTTAAATCCTCTGCTGCCATTTGTTTTTAGAAGAATGATTGTTACATGTCTCTCTGTTCAGAGAGTGTATAATCATGGCATTAACGATCTGTAGGCTGTTGATATCCTGAAGGTTCTTAGGTTGTGAATTGTGATAGTGCTGTGAACTTGTCTTGTATTATTGATCGATTGCACAACTGGGTTGAAATGAAATACCAAGCGGTTGCACAATTCCTCTCGTGCACTTGCATACTGCATGTGCCTCTCTCATTATATTCTCTAATTTCTGCTGTGCATGAGAATTTAGCAGTGCATTTGGATTCTTGAACCTCATGAGAAACATTATTGCACTTGCAGGAGGGAGTCCAACAGCTTGTTCTTGGTCTGTACATTATCAGGGGTGACAACATGTAAGATATTTCCTCCTTGTCCTTTGAGGTTTTTGTTGCTTCTTTTTTTTTGGGGGGGACATTCTTGACCTCATGTGGTACATGCAGAAGCGTTGTGGGCGAGGTTGACGAAGAGCTGGATTCAAGATTGGATATGTCGAAGCTAAGGGCGCACCCACTGAAGCCTGTTATCCACTGAGGTCCGAGTGTGCCTTGGGTACCCTTTGGACTGGATGAGTCATTGTTGAATGCAGGATGTAGCATCATCATCATGAAGAGGGGACTCAATGAGTTATATGAACATGTATCTTGCGTATTGTGAATCAATGAATATGTATGGGTTGCTTGCCTACGCATTCTGTAAGATTGCGGTTGCCTATTTTTATTTCCTTTTTCAAAAAAAAAAAAGGATTGCAATTGCTTGTAGTTTGGATCCCGTGGGAGGTTGGATCATGGGTGCATGTGCGAGACTGCCGGGTGGGGTGATACATAAATAGCAGCGATAAAGATCCAATGCAATGCAAGGGAACTCAAGTCGACTGAACTGAACTCAATTGGCTGGATACAAAATGCTTGATTCGGCTCAAAATTGGAAGAACGAAATAAATAGAATAGGAAAAGAAAAAAAGACAGGGAGGAGCTAGGATCCTCTCGTCGTCTTCATCATCATCTTCAACCTCGAGTCAGAGGCACGGGGCGGCAGGCAATTAGGAGTATATTGCACACAGTTGTAGCAGCTTAAGCTTAGTAGTAGTTAGTTAATCTAATCCTTTAGTAATGAGTTAATTAGCTACTACAGTACATAGATTATAATACGGGTGGATGTGGAAATGTGAGGGGGTTGAGTACGTACGTACGTATACAAATACAAACACGTACGTACAATAGGTGCATGGGTACGTACGTGGTCAGGCACAATTAATTACTTAAGGAACAAACAAACACTAGATGATGGATGGATGGGATGGAGTCAGTTGCTCATTTTTCATCTTGTCCTTGTCCTTGTCCTTGAGGTCGGAGGCGTTGTAGTTGCACGTGATGAAGACGCCGCCCTTGAAGCACTCGGCGCGTGCGCAGCCGACCTTGGTGCTCCTCTTTGCGACCATGAGCGCGAAGTGGCCGCACTCCTTGAAGCTCTTGCCGTCGAGGCACTTCTCCCTTTGCTTGTCGTAGATGGCCTCCTCCTTGCCCCACCAGAAGACGGCCTCCCTGGCGGTGGCGTTCCAGTCGTCGTGGCTCCGGAACACGCTCTGCCCGAACTCGTGGCCGCTGTGGAGGAGCTGGCAGTCCTTGCGCATGGCGTTGGACCAGCGCCGCGCCTGCCGCGCCAGCTTCCTGTCCCACTTCATGGGCGGCACGCCGTAGCGCGCGCGGAGCTCGTTGTGGGCGTCCACGAACTCCCGGGCGATGCCCTTGTACCACCCCGTGCCGTTGGTCGGGGACACGATGCGCTTCTCCTCCGCGTACTTGAGCAGCTCCTGCTGGGCGACCTTCTCCTCCGCCGCCGCCTTCTCCTTCGCCATCTGCCGCTCCTTCTCCTTCTCCTTCTGCTTCTGCTTCTCCGGGTCCATCTCCTGCTCCTGCTCCTTGTCGTCCTCGTCGTCGGAAGACGGCGGCGCCAGGGCTTCCTGCTCGTCGCCGCCGCCGCTGCTCCCGGTTGTCTCACTCGGCAGTGACGAGGACGAGGAGGCGGAGGAGGCCAGGGCGGAGGAGGGGACGTTGGAGAGGACGACGGCGACGGCGAGGAGCAGCACTACTGCCATGCTGCCGCTGGGGCTGCGCAGCACGACGAGGCGGCGCGCCATGCTGGTTAGGCGCTGGACGGAGGAACGCCCTCCTCTCTTGCCAACGTCGGAGTTGGGAAGGAGGGGGGTCCGATCCGGCGTGACGAGACAGCGCGGCGCGAGGGTCACCGGCCGGCGGGGAGTAGTACTGGCCACCTAAGGCCTCCCGGCCGGGGCCTTTTATATATGCCTGTCTGCTGTCTGCATGCTTGCAGACAACCGTACGACGTGCGGCCTCCATTGTTCCATTCTTGGTTCTGCTCCAACTGACCTGCCAATGGACCGATGGCGATGGCTGGAGACAAACCAGGAGCACCGCCCGCCTTTTTTGGGCCATAGACAAACATGATTGGATTGAGGCCTAGCTATTTTCTTCCAGCTGCGCGCGGCTTCGCTAGGTCGTTGGACGGTTCGTCTTCATCGTCTGGTGCTGTTGCTAGAATCATCGTAGGGCATGAGGCAACTCGTTGTCAGCAAGTTCTTTTTATCTTACATTACATACATACACGCGACTGAACAGATAGCTTGTACAATAGATTGTCTATTGAACTATCTACGAATTATCTAATGATGAAGTAAATTTTTCTAGCGGTCCTCAAACTTGTGCCGAGTTCTTATCTAGGTCCTAGTACAAATTGCACATTTAGCTCCCGAAACTTGTCCCAAGTTCTCATCCAGATGTCGATACTTTTAAATTACACATTTAACTCCCTAAACTTGCTGCCATGTTCTCATTCCAGTCCCAGTACTTGTAAATTGCACACTTTTGATCCCTAATGTTGTATTATTGTACCATTACGGTGGTCCATCCACCCCCACACCACCTCCTCACCTCCGCCACACTGCACGTGCCCACCTTACTCACGTAGCCATGTAGTACCGCACCATGCTTGTACAATAGATTGTCTATTGAACTATCTACGAATTATCTAATGATGAAGTAAATTTTTCTAGCGGTCCTCAAACTTGTGCCGAGTTCTTATCTAGGTCCTAGTACAAATTGCACATTTAGCTCCCGAAACTTGTCCCAAGTTCTCATCCAGGTGTCGATACTTTTAAATTACACATTTAACTCCCTAAACTTGCTGCCATGTTCTCATTCCAGTCCCAGTACTTGTAAATTGCACACTTTTGATCCCTAATGTTGTATTATTGTACCATTACGGTGGTCCATCCACCCCCACACCACCTCCTCACCTCCGCCACACTGCACGTGCCCACCTTACTCACGTAGCCATGTAGTACCGCACCATGCTTGAACTACTATCCCGTGCCTCCCTATGTTGCATTGTCGGTGTGGTGCCACACCCACGTTGCCACGCTAGGTCATATCGTGCCTACCACGCCACCATGTCGCGTGCTACACTCACCCTCTTGTGCTACAACAACGGCCTTGTCGTTGCCTAGGGAGGTGAGGAAGGTTGGGAGAGTGGGGAATTGAGTGTGAGGAGATGGTGAGAATGAGCATGAGCTCCTACTCATTAGTGGGGGAAGGAAGGAGTGATGTGGTGGTGTTGAATGCGACTGCTACAAGGCCGGGGCCGGTGCCATGATGAAGGGGAGTAGGAGCGAGTCAAGTGGAATCGAGGGGGGGCCACGTTGACGAAGACTCGACTGGGACGTACGGTAGGGCAAGCACGACAAGGGCGGCCATGCGGCGTAGCAAGTCCTAGGAATCTAGGTTTGCACATCCCTCCCGAGCTCCCCACACACATCTCATCCTCCATGTGCTACACCATTGTGGGTGGATGAACATGGTGTAGCGCGATGTGGCCACACGAGTGTGGTGGGCAGATGCAATGTAGCGTGGAGGATGGGGATGGACTGGAATGATACAGTAATACAAGTTTAAGGAGTTGAGTGTGCATTTTTTGAAAGTACCAGAACCAAGATGAGAACGTGGAACAAGTCTAGGGAGCTAAATGCGCAATTTAAAAGTACCGGGAGCTGGACAAGAATTCAAGACAAGTTTAGGAAGTTGAATGTGCAATTTGAAAGTATCGAGACCTAGATGAGAACTCGATAGTGAAATTTACTCTATTTAGTGCTTGTATATGGTTATGATCAAACATGAATACGATTCATGTATCCCATTGTGTTACTTGTTGATAGAAAACAGCCTATTCAACCATTAGCTAATTGTTAAAAACAAGGAAAAACTAGGATTATAATTATCCAAAAGTAATAGCCAAATTAACCATGGCAATCAACAGGGATATACGTATGAAACTACAAACGACTCAGATATCTGCCGAACAGCATATATACTCTCTCCGTTCTAAATAATAGGTCGCTTTGACTTTTTTTAATATATGCATTTTGCTATGCATCTAGATATATATTATGTCTAGATACATAGTAAAAATGAATGAATAAAAAAAGTCAAGATGACTTATTATCCGGAACGGAGGGAGTACATGTCTTATCGAATTCATATAATGGCCATATTTACTAACTTTGTAATAATGTCTAATTCAAGAGGCCAAAAGTGAAGTAGCACAAGATGAGATGCCAGTCCCGAACAAAGATGCTGCCGGCGTGGATCCTAGTGCAAGTGTGTATGATGAATCAAATGGCGTGAATTGCAACACAGGTCCATATGAACTGAAAGGATTGGTTGATGGAGCAGGATTTATTTGTGTGTTGGCTGAAGGCACTGGATCATATCGTCACAACCCGGGTCATTGGTCTCTTAGTCCGGTCATTACTGAAATTGAAGCAATTACCAAATGCAAGCAATTTTCAGTTATCAACATTTTTAAGGCAAAAAACTGTGGGGGAGTTCCCCACAGCACTTCAATTTTCTTTTTTCATAAAAGCAGGGAAGGCATACTTACAAATGTTTGAGGAATAAACAACCAAAGTAAAACCACAAAATTAACTAAATGCATCAAGCCATACACAGAAGGACGACCGTAGATCATCCTTAAATCTAACCGATTGGAGCCGGCATTGGGCTTTGAAGTTGACAAACCAGGATGCTAGGCTGATTCTGTCATTGTCGAAAGTCTTCCTATTCCTCGTCTTCCATATTTCCCAGGCTGCAATTAGAACAACTTCCATGAAGAAACCGGTGTTGGACTGACTTCTTGCCACGGCCACTCTAGTTGGGAGGCTCTGCGTGTTATTCCAAGTGACATTGACTTTTTGCCAACATTGCTGGGCAAACGGACTTGCAAAGTTAGCAGTGACAAAAATAAAACAACAGATAGACTCGCAAAGTTGGCAGGACAGGCTTCGATTCTAGACTCTTGCATTTACTCTTGTGAGTCTTTAGTACATCATCCGCAATGTAATGTGAGACTTGCTTTGCAAAATTTTAATTAGGGGATATTCCGTCCAATCACTACTACAGAATGGACTTGTTGTTCCGGGCGGTAACGGCCTTTAGTCCCGGTTACCGCGCCGGGACAAC